GCAGTCTCTGGAGGCCTGGATGGCGCTTCAAGTAGCAGAGACCAATTTCTGCCAATTTGGCCAAAAGTTCTGAGCGTAATTTTGTTTTCACACGCTGCCCTTCGCCGCCAAATTGAGCAAATGCTCGACGATGAAGGGAAATAATCATCCTTTTGGTTTTCTATTTCCACATTTCCCCATGTTTTCCTTGCTTTTATTTTTATTCAATTACAATGAAGAAAAATGGCAATATTATTAACGATATTAACGCAAATCAATTACATGTATATATACATATTTTTCTGAATAAATTTTATATTCCACTCCTGTTCTTCAGTCTTTAAAATAGAGAAAAAATCGAAATTGTCCCCCAATAGAGAGTCTGTTTTTTCGATTTTATTTTATTGTCCCCCTCATACGTGGATTTGGTCTCTTACATAATCGTATTATCATCCTTAGGGACCCCTATTTTAGGACGTTATAAAATTTCGTTCCGGGCAGAAGTGTTAAGGGATTGATTATTGGCTTTGATTTTTCGAACCGCATAGTGCCATTGCTGATTTAAGCAATTGTCGTAAATAATTTAACTGTAAATACACAGAAATACATACTTTTTATTCAGTATTTAATTCTTAGGATTAATGTAAATAGGTTCAAGCTGGCCTAATAAATATATCAGCTTTTACCAATTATCTGTATAAAGAAAATTTAATAAATTACAAATTATCAAGATATCAGGGTACCACAAAATTACTGAATGTGCTCCATGATTCAAAGATAGTGTTACGAAGAGTGTACCATCTTGGAACCATAAGGAGCAAGAAATGAGAAGAGAGAGAAAAAAGCATATAATATAATTGGACATGCCCTGGTTCGAGGAGAGGAGTCTGTTTGTAGGGAACACAGAGATCCGCCGGTACGAACCAAGAGTGCGTGAAGCCCGGGTTGATGTTCACTCCCAAACTGATCGGCGCCTGGTGTGTTCCTGGATGCCTCTGGAACCCTGACGTCACCGCGTAGTCCATCGCTACCGCTTGGTACGGCAGCATACCTCCTCAATGCCTTCCCACACTAAATACTACACGAAAGAACATAAAGGTTATTGGTAAAAAGCTTTTTGAGGTTTTCTCACGTCACCTGTGATGTTCTCCATTCACAAACCTAATTTATATTAGTCATAAATTTTTCGAAGTACTGTTTGCTGAATAAATTAATGATAAATACGAAAACACTTGCGTAAAGGACAAATAAAATAAAAATCGTCAATTGAAAATAATAAAGCTGTCAAGTTGCGGTATTCCCATCTAGCATGACCATTTTTATAGCGACGATAGGTGTGGAATACAGATTTCGATGTCCAATTTGATGCGATACTGTTAAGGATAGTTTAATTGAGTAATTAAATGGTTTGTTTTATTTATAGTCGAGTAAAAAATGGCTCGTTCAAATGCAGTTTTGAAAAAGGTGCTTCCAAGTTTAGTACCATAGATTTTTGGAAAATTGATTTCGAATTAATTATTATCCATCCAATAAAAAAGTTATTGGATGAATACCTTTCAATATACCAAAAAAAAAAACAAGTTTTCATTATTTATTTGTTTGTTTTATACTAGACATATATACAATTAAGTTAGGTATGTTCTAGTTTACCATAAATACTTATTAAAAAAATTGTATTGATAGCCAATGACATTTTTTTCCCCAATGGTTGACGTTAACACAATAAATGCATGTATTATACACCAAAGCTATAAAAATGCCTTCAAAATGGGACATAATATGAATTAATAATATGAACTTAAACATCTGGCTAGAGATATTAGAAATCCAATGATGGAAAAAAATCCTCAACCAAAAAATACTAAGAGAACTGAAGACTTTAGGGCGAATATTGAAGGACACTATGGTATGCGAAACAACAGCTGAAGAGGAGTGATTAGAAACAATAACTTTTTTCTCTAAGTGCTCTTATAAAATAAAAACAAGGATGCAGCATCTGTGTACAGTTTGTGAAAAAAAAATTGTTTACAGTGCTCAAGAAAAATATGTTTAAACTGCTGGGAGGATGAAAACATATGAGAAGATTTTTTTTTACTTTACCATGTAATTTTTCAAACAACGTTTGATTGCCGATTCATAATTTCTATTATGTGTATATTCATTACTAACTCATGTAAACTCATAAAAACATAGAGATATGCAAAAACATTTTATTTTATATTAAATTATGTAATTTAATAAGAGACCAGACTACTCTGACTCTGTAGCGATTGAAGGATTTATTATTTAAATAATTATTCAGTGTAGCTATTGAGGGTTAACATATTTGGTGATGAAAATATATAGTTTTAAAAGAAATACTCCAGGTTTTTGACACTAGAGGAACCAAATGTATGAAAAATTGTGTTAAAAGGATTATAATTCCAAGAGATATACGATTTTTATTGATTTGCAGTAACTTCTTGTATAAAAAAAATAATAAAGTTGATTTAATTTTGGTGAAAATATAAATGAAAATGTTTACCAGGCTTTGAGAACATCACAATACCAGACGGGAAATAGGTGAAAAACCTCAAAAAACAGTTCACAAACCTCGATAATGGTAGCGGTTGCCGGAAAAAGCACCGGAGCGAGAGTGCGAGGCCCGCGGCGAGATTTTGACAGTGTGCGGCACCACCGTCAGGTAAAGTTGTCTCTTTTGCCGAATACGGAGAGTGACTAATGATGGAAAAGAAGTATTCGGATTTCCTAACGATAGAATGGGCGGTATGCGGGCGGAACGGGCTCAAATTCCGTCGCTCCGGTTGGTCCGGAGCCACGCAGCGATCCTAGCGCCTGGCTTTTCGCCGTGGCCATTCGCCGAGACGAACGCCCACGTAAACGCTCGCTTGGGCTCTATCAACAAGTAGCCAATATGCATCGGTGACAGCCGCAAATTTTGGCCTTTTGCCCTGTCTGCTGCTCCTGTACTGACCCGCAGTTCCTGCTAAATTTATGTCCCTTTTTTCCATGCAGAAAATTGAAGAGCTTACACAAAAACGTGCTGCTTCACCTGGTTTCCTCGTAATAAAACTATACATTAACAGTTCTTTAATAACACACATGTCAATTTATTGGGGCTCAAGAATATTCACATCACACCTAAGACTTCTTGTTTTAAACTTATCATCCCTTTTTGGATGCAGAAAATTGAAGAGCTTACACAAAAAAGTGCCGGTTCACCTGTTTTGATGGTAGTAAAACTATACATTAACAATTCTTTTGAAAACACCCATGTCAATTTATTGGAGCTTAAGAATAATCACATCACACCTAGGAATTCTTGTTTTAAACTTATCGTCTCTTTTTCGATGCAGAAAATTGAGGAGATTACACAAAAAAGGGCTGGTTCACTTGATTTCCTGGTAGTAAAAGTAGAAATTAACAATTCTTTTGAAAACTAGCCCATGCCAATTTATGAGGGTCCAAGAATATTCACATCACAACTAGGAATTATTGTTTTAAACTTATCATCTCTTGATCGATGCAGAAAATTGAAAAGCTTACACAAAGAAGTGCTGGTTCATTTGATTTCTTGGTAGTAAAACTAGAAATTCACAATTCGTTTGAAAACTAGCCCATTCCAAATTATGGGGGTCCAAGAATATTCACATCACGTCTAGGAATTTTCTTGTTTTAAACTTATCATCTCTTTTTCGATGCAGAAAATTGAAGAGCTTACACAAAAAAGTGCTGGTTCACTTGATTTCCTGGTAGTAAAACTAGAAATTAACAATTCTTTTGAAAACTAGCCCATGCCAATTTATGGGGTTCAAGAATATTCACATCTAGAAATTACTGTTTTAAACTTATCTCTTTTTCGATGCAGAAATTTGAAGAGCTGGGTTACCTGATTTTGTGGTTGTAAAACTATGCATTATCAATTCTTGTTAAAACTATCCCATGCCAATTTATTGGGACCCAAGAATTTTCGCGCGACACCTAGGAATTCTTGTTTTAAACTTCTCTTTTTCGAAGCAGAAAATTGAAGAGCTGACACAAAGAAGTGAATCAAACCAAATCACCTGATTTTGTGGTAGTAAAACTATGCATTAACTATTATTTTGAAAATTATGCCATGCCAATTTATTGGGACTCAAGAATATTCACATCACACCTAGGAATTCTTGTTAAACTCATAATTTTTTTCTCGATGCAGAAAATTTCAGTGCTTCCATCAAAAACTACAAAAAATTGTAGTTCATCTCGTATCCTGGTAGTGAAATTATAAATTAACAGTTATTATGACGACTAATCCATATCAATTAAGACTCAAGGATATTCATACTACACTTCTTTCTGTGAAGTAAAAATTAAAGAGCAAAAAGCCAGAACATATTATGAATGAAATACTATTCTAAATTAACAATCATTCTGAAAAGTTCCCTATGCCAATTCAGTAGGCCAAGGATAGGTAGGATAATTCTTTCAAACATCAACAATAGAAAATTCTTAGGAAATAAAAATTTATAGAAGATGATTACCTTTTAAACAGAACATTTCAACACAACATGCAGAAAAGCTGTAATGTAGAAAAGCATTCGTTAGTGGTTTCATCAAAATTTATCATCAGTTGATGTTAAAATTATATCTAGTACATAGAATTCTGTTTTGAAGCAATAGATGATGTAAAAAGCTGACAGAAATGTACTAAATCGTCATTTAAAAATCTCAATCTGCTAAAAAAATGAGTTTTAGGATTCATATACAGAAATCTCTTCCCAAAAAGTTAAACACAACATGCATTAAGTAACTTGTGTTTACTTATCAGGTGAACGTTTTTGTAAAAAAGCTCAATTCAGTGTATTTCAAATTCGTATTTTTTTAATTTATGTTATTAATTCCAAAAAAACTGTTTTGTTACGTTGAAATTGATGGTGAATATGAATATGATAAGGACCAAACCTTGATAAATAATATTAACACTGGTGCATTGGGTAGTGTGATGTTAATTTGTATACTTATTTTAGATTAATACTCACGGTTCATCGTAGGGTAGGTATCTGAAAGAAATAAAATTTAATGTAATCTACATGTAAAATACTTTGTTTATAATTAATGTACTAAAGGTGTTCAACATATTTAGATTCATAGATCATAGAATAATAATTTAAAAATAATTCGTACTTTTAATACTTTAAATGTGTCTAACAAGTTGATACCAGACATTTTTGATAACGATTCTTTGCTCTGAACCTTTGTGGAAGTTGTATTTAAGCTTTTTCTTATACCAAAGAAATTTACCTCCCCCTTTCGATAATCAATCGAACCCCAATATTGATTAGGCCGATCTATGTACATGTTGAATTTATTCAATAGATTCGTTAGGACCAATTTAAGATAGCCAGACTATTTTCCTTTGCTCTGAACAAACATAATACCCCACCAGTAATGATTGGTCATTGCAATAGGGGAATTCGCTCTTTAGGAAAACTTTTTCCTATCCTTTTTTTCCTAATATTCTGTACGTCTTTCCATATAAATATCTTTTTTTTCAACAGTAGTTAAAGCTTACATCGCAGGCCATTTAAATTAGCTTATATAAAAAAAATATTACTTCAAATCATATATTTTGTCTTGCTATTATTGTTATTTAACTTTCTCTAGGACATAAATATCTTACAACCATTTAAAATAGTCCATGATGATTAATATTCTATTTAAAATGGTTTAGAGAAAGTGTTAAAAACTAGGATTTAATATAAAGTATGGTTGAAAATTGACTATTTTTACAGGAAAGAAAAAAAAAATAAATAAAAGGAAAAATAAAGTTAGCACAGCAAAATAAACCGAAAATCAATAGAATTGGGGTTAGGTCTCAGACGATGCAGTGTCTAATGAACTTTATGATTACTCTGTATTTACCTTCTTGGGATACACGCAGGGGTTAGGGGTAAATAATATAAGCGAGGGTAACCAGCAATCATTGCCATCTTATTTGATATGTCTTTAGGGAGGCTAGCTTTTACAGTATTTTCTGAATTTACTTGCTAGCTTATTGCCTCCCTGTCTCTCTTTCTTTCACCCTCTCTTTCAAATCATCAAAAATAAACGGGACCCAACTACCGGGTTTCTTTTTAGTGCCAGATTTTTCTATCTAAAAACTGATCTACGTATGTTTTCTCAGAATCAGCTGGAAAATCGAGCGTTCAAATCGGTGTAATTTCCACTTAAAAGAGCCCCAGCCAGGAATTAAAAGCACTAAAGTGTAACTTCTACCCTTTTGCTTACTATGAAGCAGTTAAGATTGGACCCAGCGATATGCAGATATTTTAATAATTTAATGGAATGTTACCCCTTTCGAGGAATATCAACTCAACTTAATTTGTCATATTGTACTATAACAAAGCTCTTTTCCTTCATTACATTAGAACTCTCTTTGTATCATTACTAAACAAGAAATTAAGTATAAGGTTTGATTAGTGTGTTCAAAGTCACATTTTTCGAGAGGGACCTAAAGTAAATACGCATCTGATCGGTCCCTAAAATACCCTCAGCGTTGGTGGAAGCAAATGAAGAACGGATACTACAGCAGCGCAATTAGAATATCTTAATTTGTATCTCACAGTTATCGCTTGACCCTTACAGAATGTATTTAATTCAGACGCAGTGAAATGCAACCCCTAAATAATTAGCCCTATTCTCATGTTTAAATTGTTGGCCTTTGTAGCTTCTGAATCTGGTTGAAAAATAGATAAAACATGTTTTTGGTGGGGTTATTCGATTTATCCATTCCATCTGTCCTATACAGTATTTAAAAATGGAAAACTGGGTATTTTTTCGTATTTTAAATGAGTTTTAGATACATTTATAGAGTAAAAATTATGTTTTTCGATCATTAATTATTCAAGTGTAATAAATATAAAATAAAACATATTTCAAAATAGTTTGGGCTTAAACAATTTTATTATATATATATTCAACATTAATATTATTTATTTCAGGGTTGGCATGATTTAAATCGTGATTTAAATCAAGTGATTTTTTAAATTTTAATCATGTTATTTAAATAAAAAAAAAAATCCGACGTAAAGTACACTTTTAGTCCGAATAGAACAGTTTTTTTCGAACGTTTACAAATAAATTTTTAATCAATTTTAAATCACGTCCCAAAAATTAATACTTTTGTGACTCTAAAACTTATGAAATAAAACAATGAATTTACACTGCTGAATTTATTGACGATTTTTTGAGTAACTAATTTTATTAAAACTAATATATTATTTTGCATTATTGCAACATTTCTTAATGGAACATTAAAAAAGTGCTTAGGCGTAAAAGGGCTTTATTTTTATGCCTAGGCGTTAAAATGACATAAATTAATACTTTTTGACGTTTGAAAAAAATCCTTTTAATCAGAAGCGGGCGACTTTTTTCCGGAATATATTGGTGACCGATGTGGAAAAATGAAACGCGCAGTATAATTGTTAATGTTATCGGTAGCCATTTAGGATAGGACTTTACTTGGAAATAAGTCCTAATTATTCGGAAATCCGATTTAAATAATGTTTTCTATTAAAATCAATAAAATCTGGCTTAAACCAAAAAAAATCATAATTTTTGCAAACCCTGTAAAGAAGTTTATGGTTGACTTACCCTGTACTTACTCATGTTTTATCTAAAACTGATTGAAAAATGTTATTTGGCAAAGTTAACATTTCTATCAATTAATGGGTCACGTTCGCTATAAGGGCATACGTAAAGTGCTGCCGTGGGTATACTAAATCGGTCCAAGTAAAATAAGGGGCGTAATTTGTTAAAGCAGTTAGTGTCTTACAAGTGGGCCCTTTATCAGCAGCCCGGGGCACAAATCTGTGTTAAGCCGCGAGCCTCTACTTTATTGGGCCGCTCTCGATTAGCTTTCAATTAGCAACACCAGATAGCGCTATCTGTGCCTCTTGATTGCACCTATAATAGTCCCTTCCCAATTAAACATTTAGCCTGAACGATCTTATTATTGCTATGGCAATGCCTCTCTGATTATTTTACATCAGACTTCAGAAATTACGTCGAAGTAAATGGGTACGAATTCAAATGATCGAAGATTCATTCTTCTTTAAGAAGAAACTCTTTGTTTTTTAGTATATTGAGATGAACCGCCTATTAAATAAACATATTTCTTTAAATTCAATACATTCAGTTTTAAGACACTCTGTATACATAAATAAAATTATTGATTTTTAAAATATTAGTCGCAAACTAGGGAGAGGGAAATCAAAATAACAGCGATAATACATAGATGTTAGGTAATAGCTTTTAGACTACCGTTCGAGACGCATTGATGTGTTTTTAGTTTGGAAGATTGTGACAAAGAATGTTATTAAAGGTAAAGTAAACGTTTCCTCATTATTTAACTAGTGTTAACTAAAGCTTAATTTTATTTTCCTGTTAAAATATTCGGTGCTAAAGCTTTTCCGGATTTATTTGATCTGAGAATTATATTAAATAACATGTGTATGTATGGATTCGATTTATGCTGTGAATAATTTCTAGTATAAAATTAAATATAAGACAATCGTTTACTAGTTATATAGCCGATGTTTTTGGTTCTGTATGACTTGTGAGCAGGGTTCGGAAGTAGTTAATTAGGACGTAATTTACCTGATTAACTACGTGTAGTTTTTCTTCAAAAACTACGTCTTTTCCCGTTAATTAACTACATGAAAACTACGTTAATAAACTATGTATTGATATTATGAATAATTTTCATTTGTATGAGGTGTAATAGAGATAATTTGATGTAAATATTATATTTAAAGCCATATTTCTGACTCATAGTCTAAAGATATTGGCACCAACCATATCAGCTCTAGCTGAGTAGCCTTCGGAATCCAGGGACCTCAGTACCTGCAGGTGCTGACCTGCTAACTAACAAAACCTCTTCAGTTATCACTGTTTTAAGTGTGTTAAACTTTAAGCCTTAGTATGGGGACAGTATTTGTATTATTATTATTCCTCTTTTACTAAGAAATTATTATTAATCACAATAAAAAATATTCTTAACACAACGTAGGTTCCTTTATTTCATTTAAATTGTTTCTTATATATAGTTGGTCAAATATTGTAACATTGCAATAATACATTGCGAGACAGGAAATTGTAGAGAGAAACAAGCCCTATAACATAGGTTACAACATTTTAATGAACAGTGCTTTCCATAAAATCAATAAAATGAAAAATATACGAAATAATATACATGTAGGTACTGATTTCTTTCGAAAATAGACAACTATGATCCCTTCCCGGACACAAACGGTACATTGCGAGACAGGAAATTGTAGAGAGAAGCAAGCCCTATAACATAGGATACAACATTTTAATGAACACTGCTTTCCACAAAATCAATAAAATGAAAAATATACGAAATAATATACATGTACTGATTTCTTTGGAAAACAGACAACTATGAAACTATGATCCCTTCCCGGACACAAACGGTACATTGCGAGACAGGAAATTGTAGAGAGAAACAAGCCCTATAACATAGGATACAACATTTTAATGAACAGTGCTTTCCATAAAATCAATAAAATGAAAAATATACGAAATAATATACATGTACTGATTTCTTTCGAAAATAGACAACTATGAAACTATGATCCCTTCCCGGACACAAACGGTACATTGCGAGACAGGAAATTGTAGAGAGAAACAAGCCCTATAACATAGGATACAGCATTTTAATGAACAGTGCTTTCCATAAAATCAATAAAATGAAAAATATACGAAATAATATACATGTACTGATTTCTTTCGAAAATAGACAACTATGAAACTATGATCCCTTCCCGGACACAAACGGTACATTGCGAGGCAGGAAATTGTAGAGAGAAGCAAGCCCTATAACATAGGATACAACATTTTAATGAACACTGCTTTCCACAAAATCAATAAAATGAAAACTATACGAAATAATATACATGTACTGATTTCTTTCGAAAACAGACAACTATGAAACTATGATCCCTTCCCGGACACAAACGGTACATTGCGAGACAGGAAA